TCTAGAATGCAGAAGTCGCGGGCCGTGGCTGCACCAGAGATGCAGAGAAAGAAAGTACGCGACAACTCACGATCAATGACAGTAGGTGATTCTGTGGTGCGACCAACACCTAGCCTGGAAGCAATGTTCGCTAGAGGTGCTGCGCAGCGAGCCGACGACGATAACGAAGATAATGATGATGACGACAATGGAGATAATGAGCCAATACGACCTCCTGCACGACGATCGAAGAAATCTACCAACGTTGGATTTGCTGCCTAATACATATGTTATATGCTATGATTTTTAAAAATTTAGTTCATCAACGCTATTACGTTTCTGCATATGCGATTTGCGCCAGGAAACAGTGACACATCTGGAAGCTCGAGCAACTCACTACCAGACACTACGCGTCCGAGACCAGCATAGTCGCGCCTGCGCGTAACTGGTTCCTCATAGATAGTGTCGCCTCCCCACTTAACCGTTGCTGTGCTGTTGTCTCTTTGAAGCATTTCGACTCCACATGCACTTATTAGCACACCCTCTGGCGTTATATTGTCGTATGTGTAGCAACAGCCGTATACCGGTATGCTATACGCCCCAGTGATCTCGTGCAGTTCGTCTACGATGAAATGCATACTGTACGTGCATGTAATACTGCGGACTTCTGCAAACAATGCATCTGAAACTTGATGAGTATTGATAATATCTGCAAGACTACAATTCAATATTACACGTGGCACGGCACGGGTCTTCAGCCCTCTGATTACAGGCATTAGCTCTTGCGGTGACCTCAGCATGTTTCGGGTCCGCAATCTTCTGGCGAGCGAATGGCATTTATCCAAGTCAGGTTCAACGAACACATATGATACCGAATCATCGAACGTAGTCGAATCCAGTGACTGGCCATCGCCTGTACCGATATCTACGATCACGGATCTCGTAGATACTCTTGATGTAGCTGCATCTGTTATGACACGCCGAAGTTCATTGCACCATATAAGCGCAGCTCGTCGCTCGTTATCATCACGTGTGAGAGTAACGCGCATTGAATTTATGATATTGTGAGCGGCTCTGGCTGAATTTGCAGTGGACTTATCGGTTCTTTCAAACATGTCAGTTACCGTTATGTTGTTGTACTTAGCTGACTGTACAAATCTAATCTCAACTATAGCGCCTGGCACGAAGGTTATACCGCTAGGACACTTCAGTACGACTTTGTCGTCAGATGTGATAAAGTTAAAGTTGTCAGAAACTTTCAGTTCAATAGACTTGACAGCCTTGATCTTGAGAATCTCCGTACTACCATCTCTAATTGCAACAACTCCATCAGTGGGGTACTTCGCATTTTTGCTGTACACGCTAGCATCTTCGAAACTGTCAAAGTATCGGCGTATCTTTAGAGGGATATCTTGACACACT